CCGCCCAGCCCGGGCGTGCCCCTGCCGCAGGGGGGCAGGGTCAGGAGCCGGGACACCTGGGTCCCACGGTCCCCCTCCCCCACCCCCCAGAGCCAGACCCGGCACAGGGGGCTGGGAAAGGTGGGCGCCCTCGGACAGGAGCAAAGGATTCGGGGATCCAGTGGGGGGAGGGGCAGAGGATCATGGGGGGAACAGGGAAGGAGCACAAAGGCTTCTGGGGGAAGAGGGCAGCGAGGCTGGCAAAGGATGCTGGGAACAAACTAGGATGCTGATGAAAAGGTGGCAAAGGATTCCGGGGGAAAGCAGGCAATAGGCAGGGAGCCCAAAGGATTCTGGGAAAAGAGGAGCCCCGCAAAGGCTGCTGGGAAGAGGGCAGGGGCCTGACCTTGTCTCTCTCGCCTGCCCCGGGCCGGGTGGGAGCCGGCGCCCCCTGCAGGGCCAGGCCCCTGCCCCATTCCCTGCCCCGGGCCGGGTGGGAGCCGGCGCCCCCTGCAGGGCCAGGCCCCTGCCCCATTCCCTGCCCCGGGCCGGGTGGGAGCCGGCGCCCCCTGCAGGGCCAGGCCCCTGCCCCATTCCCTGCCCCGGGCCGGGTGGGAGCCGGCGCCCCCTGCAGGGCCAGGCCCCTGCCCCATTCCCTGCCCCGGGCCGGGTGGGAGCCGGCGCCCCCTGCAGGGCCAGGCCCCTGCCCCATTCCCTGCCCCGGGCCGGGTGGGAGCCGGCGCCCCCTGCAGGGCCAGGCCCCTGCCCCATTCCCTGCCCCGGGCCGGGTGGGAGCCGGCGCCCCCTGCAGGGCCAGGCCCCTGCCCCATTCCCTGCCCCGGGCCGGGTGGGAGCCGGCGCCCCCTGCAGGGCCAGGCCCCTGCCCCATTCCCTGCCCCGGGCCGGGTGGGAGCCGGCGCCCCCTGCAGGGCCAGGCCCCTGCCCCATTCCCTGCCCCGGGCCGGGTGGGAGCCGGCGCCCCCTGCAGGGCCAGGCCCCTGCCCCATTCCCTGCCCCGGGCCGGGTGGGAGCCGGCGCCCCCTGCAGGGCCAGGCCCCTGCCCCATTCCCTGCCCCGGGCCGGGTGGGAGCCGGCGCCCCCTGCAGGGCCAGGCCCCTGCCCCATTCCCTGCCCCGGGCCGGGTGGGAGCCGGCGCCCCCTGCAGGGCCAGGCCCCTGCCCCATTCCCTGCCCCGGGCCGGGTGGGAGCCGGCGCCCCCTGCAGGGCCAGGCCCCTGCCCCATTCCCTGCCCCGGGCCGGGTGGGAGCCGGCGCCCCCTGCAGGGCCAGGCCCCTGCCCCATTCCCTGCCCCGGGCCGGGTGGGAGCCGGCGCCCCCTGCAGGGCCAGGCCCCTGCCCCATTCCCTGCCCCGGGCCGGGTGGGAGCCGGCGCCCCCTGCAGGGCCAGGCCCCTGCCCCATTCC